TACTCACATCATTAGTAGCAATTAAGCTTTTCAACATTCAGAACCCACAAGAGTTCAATCAATAATTGTCTAAGTATAGTGTGTAATGGGGTAGAGGTGGAGGGCTGGGAAGGCAGGCTCAACAGACAAAAGTTAACTTTGTTTTCACTAAAAGTTATAAATAAGCCTACCATAGAAAATAACCACCAATATCAGCAATGGCCACTTTTAAACAGAGTAAACAATTTATGCTCTTTATATGATTCCGTGCCATAAAAATTATTTTTACCCTCTATCAAATCTTTACCATTTTTATATCAAAATATGGAATTTATAGTAGGGTTACAGCACATTTCAATTGCTAAACTAAGGATTCTAAATGTCAAAGGGTTAATAGCATTATTCTTCTTGTTATTATCATTCTCATCATCTTCATCATTGGTTTTCATCCAAAGCATATACACTTTTAAAATTCTATCTTTGTTTTCTATACGTACCCTTGAATATCTGTGAAAATTTCGAAAAGTTTTCATTACTCATAATTTAAGTAGAAAACCCAACTGAAATGATCACTTATAAGAATATTGTAGGGGCCGGCCAAGTGGCTCAGTTGGTTAAGAACGTGAGCTCTGAACAACAGGGTCGCCAGTTTGATTCCCACATGGGCCAGTGATGCTGCGCCCGAGCTGAGCTGCTGCTGAGCTCCCAACAGGTGGCAGGATGACTCAGCTGGTGAGTGCATGTGCTCCTAACAAGGTTGCCAGTTTGACTCCTGCATGGGAGGGTGGGCTATGCCCACCCGCAACTAAGATTAAACGCGGCACCTAGAGCTGAGCTGTGGCGAGCAACTAAGATTGAACACAGTTGAACACAGCACCCTGAGCTGCCGATGGATGGCCACATGGCACCTGGACTTGGAGCTGAACTAGCTACGCCCTCTATAACTAAGACTGAAGGACAACTTGGCTATTCCCCTTCCCCAATTCCCCAATTAAAACCAAAAAAAGGAATATTACACACATGTGTGTGTATATGTGAATATATACAAATGCCCACACAGATGTGCTTACATGCTATTTTTCTTTTCTAGATGAGGAAAAATTTGAGTATTAAAAATTATTGAATATTTTATGTAAATATGAATAAAACAGTAATGAATTTTATTTCATAAGTGATGCATATACTTTTATATTAACCTTTTATATTACCTAGTTCTCATTAGTGCTGAAACTTTGTACTGTGTATATTTATTTTTGTTCTTTCTTAAGTCTATTAACTATTAACAGTTTTGGTTTTGTATTTTAATTTTTTCTGTGGACTATTTTTATTTCGGAAAAATAAGAATGATTTTATTTAATTGAGAGAAATGCTTAGTTAATGACTTCATTTAGTGAACCACTACATGGAAGATATTTTCTGCATTTTGTTTGGCACTAATCAGTGATGCCAAAACTGCATAGCTTTCCCAAGCTTTGTATATATTTTTATATAGTACTAACAGTATCTCTTTAGAATCATGATGAAGACCAGTAATTTGGAGCTCATGTACAAAAGCAGCATGCACAGTTTTCACTTGGGATTTAAACATTAGCCATGAAGAGATTCCTGTATCATGGGCCTCCAGTGTACTGTATATTAGATAATCAGGCATCGCTTCATCTTACAACCTCTGTCATTATGTCCTGGGCAACCTGAGCAAAGTTTTTACGTGAAAGGTCATTGCTTGTCACCAATTTCATCACAGACAAGGCCAGGGTTATTTGTAATTTGCACTCTTAAAACAGAGCTATTACCTTGTGATCTGTTGAAGCTACAGGATTATTCCAATCTTGCTTTACCTCTGTGTTTTCCTCTTTAAATGTTACTTTGTTGTTGTTGTTGTTATTGATGCTGTTTTCTTTGAAAATATGCACTTCTCTCTGGGGTTACAGATTATGTCTTTCTTCATTTCTGTCTATGTTTTTCTGATTTGGTACTCTTGATACGTTATTCTAGTTCTGCCATAGGGATGAAAACCACAGCATTTAAACGTCAGGATTGTTGATCGGAGTTCTGTTCCCACAATTTACATTTTTATGAGCTCTTCATTGAAATCTTGAATCAGGTTATTTTTGATTCATGCCAAGTATAAAACTTTCCAGCTGAACTTACTTAGTTATTGCTTTAAGCTGGTCATGTATATACAATCTTCCTGGAAATCTGCGGCCCAATAAAGTTTCATCTTAAAGATAAGGGTGACTCTTTTTAATAACCTACCCTTTTGTATGCTTGGAAAAGAGAAATGGAGTAAAATACTAATGGCAAGCCCGAGGTTCACATTTCATCATAGTGAGCATAATAGTATGAAATGTGTCCGTTTGCTGATACCAAACTTATTCATTCATTTTAAGTTTTTAGATCCCATCTGATGATAATTTCATTGTTGGAGTTCATCAGGACCCAATAGATGCCCGCTGCTGATAAGGCCCAAGGCGAACAGTGTCAGGAAACACAGTTAGGGAAGCCAAAGCCCTTCAACTTTTTTTTTTCTCTTTCTTTCTCTGTCAGAATCAAATTTTCAGGCTTCTGGGAGAAACAACTTGAAAATACACCTGAAATTTCTACAAGACCTTGCATTTTCTTTTCACATCTCCACAAGCGGTGTGTCACAGAACAGCATGAGCTTACAAAGCGGGTTACTGAACCTTGCTGCAGCATGCCAGATCTTTCAAGACTGCTTGACACATGTATATAGCTTATTCTGAGTGGAAAGGAAAGGGAAAGGTGGCTGTTTTTGTGGGCGTAAAGGAAAACTGTGTAGTGTTTTCTTGCGTTGCTTTCCCTGGGTCCAGTGGCTTCTCGTGGGCTTCGCTTGGCTCCCTGTAAGTACGAGGACAGCTCAGTTTTCCGTTTGGCCAGCCTCATCAAGCGTGATGGAAAAGAAATGCCTGTCTTCTTTAATGTAGTTGATGCACACTTGGTTGATGCTTTGTTTGCATAAGCAGAGCTCACTCAGCGAAGTGTTTTCCTTGCTGAAGGCATCACTGATGTGTTATTTGACCGGTGGTGTGGAGCAGGTCTCTGAACACACATTTGTTCCAAAGAGTGTGGTTATAAACATCCACTAGTAGAGACTGGGGTATTGTAAAGCCTAATCTCTTCACACATTATTTTTGTATCGGGATATTTTTAATATGTTCACTGACTATGCCCATACACTTGGAAACTTTGGTCCTGTATGTTGCCGTATTATTGCTTACTGACAAATAAGATAATGTTGGCCAGGCAGAAAGAGAACAAAAGATAATGCTTTCTTTTTATTCACATAAAAGCCAGCCACAGGAGCCGTTCTTTAAGTAACAAGCCCCCATGTTATCATGCAGCTCTCCAAATGAATGCTAAGACTCTGTTATTTTAGAAAATTATTAACAAGTCAAAGCCTGCCATTGGCTTTCAACTCTAAAAGAAAATCAATAACTTGTTTTTCTGAGACACTCTTTGCTCAGAATTCGCCTGTTGCACAATGTTGCATAGCACCAAGAGGAACAGAGGTTAGCATAAACCAAAGGATTATTTCAGTATGTGCCACAGATGCTATGATAAACCATGGATGGGTGTTTGTAAAGTTAGAGGCTGCATTGTCTATTCTGAGCAGGGCTACTTTCGTTTCAAAAGGCCAGATCTAGAAGGTGAGCGCAAACCTGCCGGTGAGAAGCCGGAGCACCCTCAGGGCTTGATCTGAGCAGCACAGCGTACACATGATTTAGGCGAGAGGCAGCAACCAGCAGGCGACCTGCTGACCAAAAGTGCTTAGCCAGAAGGATCAAGTGTTTCTCTATAAGATATAATTAACCTGGTTAAAAATGCCATTTGTAATCACTAAGGCAAAATGTCTTATCTCATAACCAAATCAAGTAGCTATTAGCTCTCAGGTTTATTCTTTTTTTTTTTTTAAGATTTTTATTGGGGAACTGGGGGGAAGGGAACAGTGCTGGGGAATTGGGGGAAGGGGACCAGACAAGTTGCTGTCGTTTTGTTCTTCAGTCTAGTTGTGGAGGACGTTGCTTCACTGGCCTAAGTTGGCACCATCATTGCGCTCTTCCTGGGTGAGGCAGATCAGTCGCCGGCTTCTGGACGGCCGCTCACTGCGGCTGCTGGCCGCTCACGCCGGCTGCTGGCCGCTCACGCTGGCTGCTGGCTACACACGGTAGCCCATGGCAACCCACTGCCACAGGGACTGCAGCCTACGCCGTCGCCGGCGACTCACGGCAGCCCAGCTCCAGGTTGAGCTGTTGTTCAGCATCTTAGCTGTGGAGGGCAGTGTCACTGGCCCTCGTATGTGGGATCCGAACCGGGGCCCTCTGGCGTCCCAAGCCAGTTCTTAACCACGCGCCACTTGGCCGGACCTCAGGTTTATTCTTTTGATAAGCATTTCTATTCCCCAGTTGGCTACCTTCTGTGGACTGGAGGAGACCTATACATGGCTAACAGTGCCTCGTTTCAACTGGTCTTGGTTCAAAATTTAACTGTCATCCTTTAGGAAAAGGGGGATCAGCTTATATTGGATCCTACTGCTAGGCTAAAATAAATAACTACTGAAAACGTTCACCAGCATGGCTAACTTTCAAGTGTGCACTCATGAACTTTCCCACTTTTGTGGATTATTGTAGCAGATTTTTTATTTGTTTGTTTGGTATTGACTTCTAGTTTTCTGAGCAGCCCTCCTCCCCTCTATCTGCTATATATACAGGGATGCAAACTGGTATCTAATGTCAGTATTTGCCAACCCTCATTAGGAAGACTTAGAAAGGTTGACCTCTCAATTTCGAACCATTCTAAAGCTATAATAAAAAATCTAAGATGATTGAGTGTTTGGGGCTCATAGGAGCTATTACATGTCTCTTTTCTCAAACTTGAGAAAATTGCACTTGATTTTTTAAAAAATTCACAGAATTTGCAAAATGTCTCTAAGTCAGTCTATAAGAATCGATGTGATCACAGAATTCCTTTCTCATTAATTATTTTGCATTTTTCTCCTTCAGCCCAACTCCCGACCGTCGGCGCAGAGTGGCAGGCACTCGGTGTCTGTGGAGGTGCAGATGCAGCGGCAGCGGCAGGAGGAACGTGAGAGCTTCCAGCAGGCCCAGCGCCAGTACAGCTCTCTGCCCCGGTACAAGTGCTCACACCCTCCCAGCCCTTCCGCCAATACCCTCCTTCCAAAATTGCTTCTGCACCTCACATAAGGTGGTGAGAACAGAACTGCAAGTGGGTGCTGGGGGGCGTTGCTTAGCTTAGAGGCCATTTTACCGTGTGGCAAGAAAGGCGTTTCAGGAGATACCAACGTTTTCACCCGAAAGCTCCCTGAGAATGTAGTGGCATGTCCCATGAGTACTGGGCCTTAGGGATTGAACCTGGAGTATAGTATTGGATCTGCTGCCTCCCGTGTGGCCATGAACAAGACAGTTTTCTCATATGAAAAAATGGGAAGGTAACTCTTATTTTGCTCAGCTCATAGGGCAACTAGACTGACTGATCCTTTGTACATCTAGAGCTCTGTGGAAGGATAGAGGTGAACGCTCCATGCTCCATACTGAGGTGGGCTCCAACCTCCCGCTCTGGCTGCCGGCCCCACATTTACTGTGTTTGTCCTGGGAGAATCCCAGTGTCCCCACCTCATTAGCTGACAGCCAAGCCAGAGGGTTTATCTTCTGAGGTCATCACATGGAGGTACCTCTGTTCTGGGGTTGTCTGCCAAAGGCCTGAAAAGCGCTCAGTTGACTGAGCCCTAATACGTTAAATTGATGGCCAATTTTCCACCTCAGTATTTCCTCCATGCATAGTAAAAAATAAAAGTATTTAAAAACATTCAGCTTTCCACACTTCCCAAAACAAGTCACTCCTATAATCACAATTCCTACAGACGTTTGTTCTTCTGTTTCAAAACCAGGTGACAAAAACATTTTGGGTAGAAAAATATCCACTTACCATGTTTCTATCAACTGTTTTGAATTTGAGCAGAACAGTTTTGGGCTGGGGGCAGGGGAGGCAAACGCTTATCTGTGTAAACTTAACTGACCAAGATAAAAGTGATCTTGATTCAATTTCTCATAAAGGTGAGTCCCTTTAAATGTTAAATAGTCACTATAATAACCATGAGGGACTTGGCCACATTGACACCAGCCACCAAGGGAATGCAGATGTGAATGAAAATCTGTACCTGGATGAGAACCATTATTGTAGTAACTTGTTCATTCAGTTGTCCTTTTTCAGTTCCTAAAGCTGTATTTCCTTTGAGGAATAAATTGTTTTTTAAATAGAATTATTTTTCTTTTCACTAGGATAACAAACAGTTATTTAGCCCACTCTAAGGACGCGTCATTGACGTTTAGGTCTAGACAGGCCTCAGAGATCATCTCGTCTAATAAGGAAACAGCTCAGAAAGAATAAGCAACTTTCCCTAAAGTCACACAGCTAGGAGGTACTTCTGCCAGAATTCAAACCCAAACCTGCCCATGCCCTTTATAACCATTATTTTATATGGCTTATTGCTACCAAGAGCTTTTGCTCCCTGGTTTGGCATATTAACAGGTATAAGTGTCAAGTTCCCCTCTGTGCTCCACTGCCCTGAGCATTTGGAAGGAGGCCATGGTATGAATCAACCCAATGCATCAACTGCTGAACACTTCGAGGATTATGCGCTAAGGCTCTGTCTGTGTGAAGTCCCTTCCCCCAGCCTGTTGCCTGGCATTCCACCAGGAAGCCGAGTGTGGCAATGTGGCTGAATTGCCACGCTGGGTGTGGCCTGCTTCCACAGCCCCACAAGTGGCCCAAGCCCGTGTGAACGCCTCTGATAGGTTGTAGGATTATATTGTCTGTGCAGGAACCAGGATCTTAGTCTTTTTGGCAAACTGTTTGGTTTCATGTGTTTTAGTTGTATTTGAGAGTATTGATAAAAGATGGAGGAGAAATGTAATACATTGTATATAAGAAGAGGACTGAGTTGGGAGATGCACAGGACTCAGGAAGGGAAGTTGGAGAGACAGTGTTGGGAGGGCCTGGGGAGGCAGACGGCCTGCAGGAGAGAGACTGTAGGGTCCCAGTCCTCAGGAAAAGGACAAAGATCGATGCGGTGCTTCCATTGAATTTCTCCTGGTCACATTGCATAGTAGCCCAGTGTTCCAGATGGATCCTTTCGTCCTGGCATTCCTCTCCCCTTATTCACTCTCCACCCCTCCTTTTCCGACCTCCTCTCTGCTCCCCTTGCTTTCTCTCCCGCTCTCTTCTGAAGCACGTGATAGGAGGGCCTGTATTTCCATGGAGAGGGGGGGGGTTGCTGCTATTGGTATTACTACTATCATTTAGTATTTCCCTAAATAACTAAAACTTTCCCTCTACGTATTGGTGACTCCCTTATTATTAGCCATTTTATTCCGTGTAGATATACGGAAAGCCCCAAGCGAAAGAGTTGTGTTAAGTTTAGGCAAGTGGGGCTGGTAGGCCTCTACGTCATGTTCTCTTCTGTTAGAGAATAATTTCTCAGTGTGAACCTTTATATGTGTGAGGAAGATTAGGAATGTGAAGCCTTGTACCCAGCTTGGTTCCTAGCCGAACGGCACCACTCAGCAGCAGGCTGCGTGCAGAAACCTGACGGAAGGTAAAGAAATCAAACAGGAGGTCAGAGGGGGACTGCAACCGCCTGCATGTGCATGAGTCCAATCCAAGTTTCTGACATGTGATATTCTTCAAAGACACTTGACCTCTGCTTTTCAGATGTTGACAATTAGCAGAGTTTTGTCTAAACAAGTTGGTATGGCATTTGATACCAAAAAGATTTCACACACAAAAATAGTTCAGTTGCCAAGTGGAGCATAAAATAAAACAAATGGTCAAGAGTTTGTATCAGTCGTACTAGATAAGATGGTTTGAATTAGAGGGATGTGTGTGAGCCAGAGCAGTTTGTGAATTCTAACTGTAATTAAGGAGAACTATAGGCAGAATTCAAGTTTCATTTTGAAATGTCAATAAGAAACATTAGCCAGGTGGTTACACTAGTTCTGAAGGAAAGAGGACCTGAGTGGCCTCACAATTCTCCGTCAGACTGGGATTTCTATTTTTATTTTTTAAATTCTGAAATGAGTTTTCTTTTTCACTTTCTTATTTTAAATCTTTTTTTTCCCCTAAATTAGTTCTTTTGTTTAGTATCCAAAAGGCAACTTTCAAACTAAGTAGAAGCATGTTCAGTCATAGCCACTGACAGGCTCTTTTGAGATCTTTTATTCAATATTTTTCTTTATTTTCTTTTTCTGCTGTCTCTCCGTTTCCCCTTCGTCTTTTCCTCTCTCTTGGTTTCATGCCTGGTGGCGTCTCCCTGCTTTGTACGCCTCACTTCCCAGCTGCATCTTCACACCCTGACGTGGTCTCCACACCAGGCCCATTTATTATGTCTCTGAGCTGCTTGTCAGCTTGTCAGCCTTGGTCTTTACATCTTGCTTCATCCTCCTGTGTCCTCCTCACCTCGATGGACAGCTGGCTGTCCTCAGGCATTGGGTCTTTGGTGTAAGCCTTCTACATGGTGATAGTCTATAGACCACTTTGGAGGTGGTTGTGATCACTGAGACAGTTATTGCCAGACCAGGGTATGTGCTTTCAGGGGATTCAGACATCTCCAGTGGACTCATTCCAAGACCAAAAATTCCTGTGTGTTGGTTATAAAGAAAGTCAGTGGAAAGAGACTGACATTTTCTTGCTACTGTTGTTGTCGTGACCTATGAGCAATCATGGGGCAGTCAAGAGCTTCCTTGTTGTCTCTGCAAAACTGTCTGTGGACTTGCCGTCACTTAGTGAGGGTTCTTCAATAATTCTCAGTGCCTTTCTCTCCTCCTTGTCTCTACACAACCCGTCTGACAAAGGAAGAGAAAGCTAATAGTTTTGTTTACTTTTCTTCTTCTATTAGAAAGATACCCCCAAAACCCAAAGCCTACACTTTGAAGGCTAAGTTAGGTTGTCTTCAGACTGCTCCTCCAACACCCAGTAGTCAACCATTTACTCTGTGCCACACTTTTCTAAATGTTTTACATGTGTTACTTCATTGATTTCTCCCTCACAACCCGATGAGGGTAGATATTATGCCTATTTCACAGAGGAGGCAAATTGGGCCCAGAGAGCATAACCTTCCAGCATCACACAGCTGGCAAGTGGCAGACCCAGGATTTGAATCTTTGCCTGATCCTAAGCCACTCTCCCACTATGCCCAGTGCCTGGGTAACTAGTTTTCTAGTGTAGAAAGCTCTTGTTGTCTGCTGTCTTTTTGTGTTTCTCTGTGATCTGCTCATTTCTTGTCTCTTAATCAAGAGCTACTGATACCACTAGCTTTCTTAACCAAGGAACCGTGTGTGGGGGGACGGGGGGGGCAGGGGGGGCAGGTGCACATGTGTATGTACTTGTATCTAAGTGTATGTACTTTCCCACATGTCTTACTTCAAACCTCAGGGGCATCTGTTTCCTTCTGTCTATACTGATTACTTTGAAGAAAATTTTAGCTACAAGAAATTCTTTCTCCCACATCATCATAATGTCCGTTCCTAACACACCTTTAGTGAATTCTCAGTGTGTTGAAGTTTAGAAAGACTTAAACTGTCTTCCTGGAATGTTTCAAAATTAAGCTGAGAGTACATGGTTTCCATAGAGCAAAGCCTCAGGCTTTACCGAGTTGGGGAATGGGGGATGGAGAGGGCTAGTGGTTCTCAGTAGGCCAGGGATGAAAAAGAGGGGACATGTCCACAGCCTGTTTCTGGTTATCTTTAAATTGATAACTAACTCATGAAGGAATCCCACTTTTGTTGCTGTAATGTCAGTAACAAGTTCATTGTTTTAATTAAAGTTTCATGATTAATGTCAAATCCCTGGTTCCATGCTGGCACTTTCCATCATTCCTGTCTCTGGGCAGATTAATTTATGACTTTTTAAGTGAAGATAATCAGTGCTTTAGGCAAATAAACTATTCCATCAAATGTAAGGATTCTTGCCTGGGCTGATTGTAGAAACAGCCTGATTCCCATTAAAAGAAAACCAGATAGATACACTGCGGACTGCTCAATTAATCATAGTCATATCCAGAGATGATGCTGGACATTTATTCATTTTCCTTATTGAAAATATCCCTGACTACATTTTAGGCCATATGGAAAATGGGCAGATTTCACCCCAAACCATATTGATGGCGCTTCCGAATGTCAAAGCTGCAAATTACTTCATTCCTATGGGAGACCCAGTGACTGCATAGACCCTGTTTTCCCTCTGCAGGAGTCCTTGTGAACATCCTTTCATGTTGTGTGTGTTGATGCGAAAGGCTGAGCAATACATACTGTCGCCAAATGATTTTCTTATTGATAAATGGAGCAATATATTTTGTTTTATTACTCAATTCTCTCTCCCTCTCTTCCCTTTTCAGGGCTAAAAATTAGGGCATGTCTTCCTTTCTGGCACAAAATTGGTTTCCTTTATCATAGCCAATCTTATTGTAAATTCATAACAGTATCTAGAGACTTGATAGTAAATTAAAGATGTTTCAAAACAATAATGTTTCCTGAAAATGATGTGCAACTGTATTGCACAAGTGATAAGAATTGGAAATTACTATACAACTCTGATTTATGCCCTATCCTGTGGTGAGCAAAGTGATGTTAGTAGGTTATCCTGGCCTTTGGTCAAGTTAGAGCATGCAGGAAAATGGTGCTTACTCTCTAGATGTCCCGGCTCTGTAGTCTTGATGAGCCTGTATTCTGAGGAGTGACAGCTGCTGATACGCACAACTCAAAAGCTGGGCCTTTAAGGACTGCCTGTTACATTTTTAATCATAAAGGAGTCTAGACTTAAATCTTTCATGGCGGAACTCATATTGTCATCCATTACATGTGCTTCCTATTAGCTAGCATCTCTGGCATTATGGTGGCAACTGTGTACAATATTTGTTTTGCTTGTTTAGAGATGAATTGTAACGTTGTACAGCGAGCAAATATTGCTGGGGTAGAAACTGCCAAACCTCTAATCCCCTATACAGCATCGTGCCAATGTGTCTAAATTACAGGAGATGTATGGTACCGTAAGCAGAACAGACAGTACCTACCCAGACAAAGAAGGAGGACCGTATTTCCGATAACTGACTCTGTTAGTTCTCTCTCGTTTAGCCCTTGTTTGTTCACTGGTCTAAGACTTGAGCTTACTGAGGGCAGCCATGTTTTCATCCTCCACCCCCATCACAGAGTCTGGCGCATGAGTAGACCACAGTAATACGTGCTGAAATATTGAAATGCATATTGCCCCTCCCCTCTCCCCCCTTCGCTCCTTTCCTCCTCTTTTTCTCTCTCCCCTTCTCCGGCCCTCGCACTAACCTGTGGACTTTGCTTTCTAGGCAAAGTAGGAAAAACGCCAGCTCTGTGTCCCAGGATTCTTGGGAGCAGAACTACTCCCCTGGGGAAGGCTTCCAGAGTGCCAAGGAGAACCCCAGGTACTCCAGCTACCAAGGCTCGAGGAACGGCTACCTGGGTGGGCATGGCTTTAATGCCAGGGTGATGCTCGAGACCCAGGAGCTCCTCCGCCAGGAACAGAGGCGGAAAGAGCAACAGATGAAGAAGCAGCTCCCTCCCCCCGAGGGGCTCAGCAACTATGACTCATATAAGAAAGTCCAGGACCCCAGTTACACGCCTCCCAAGGGGCCCTTCCGACAGGACGTGCCCCCTTCCCCTTCTCAGGTTGCTAGGCTGAACAGACTCCAGACCCCTGAGAAAGGGAGGCCCTTCTACTCCTGAGCAAGAGAAGAGCGAATGCTTCGTGTCATGCAATAAAGGACATTTTCCTATGAAGACTTGTATTTTGGGAGTTTTTTGAAAAACCTCAAGGGTACCATGGAAAATTTCTGTTGTTGGTATCAGTGCCTTTAAGCGGTATGGGCAAAGAAATGGAAGGCCTTAATGTCTTTGCCAATATATGTCTCAAGTATTTCATGGAAGGATTTCACACCATCTGACAATCACCTGCTCGAAGCATTCATAGGCTTGGCATCTTTCTGGAGGACCAGGAATTCTTGGCCCAACTCAGGAGATGTTCATGGCTTTGTGTTACAGCCCCATACAACCAGAGGTGACAGGTTACCTTGAAGCTAAGATCCTGTTGATTCCTCTTTTTTTCCCTTTAAGTTTTATGAGAAGATGTGAGGCGACATCTCAGTCTCTGGTGGATGAAAGGGGGTGACATACACCAGAAGCTGGGGCTTTCTGGTACTTCACAGCCCAGTCATTTATGGTTCCTTTATAATCGGTATGGTTTTCCCTTTTCTTTCTCAGCTCCTTGTAACAGGAAATTTCCTTCATGCTATTAAGAAGCTAAGCCATATTCCAACGCTGTCTGGTTGTCATGGGGGTCCTTTTGTAACTGCCTTATAACTCAACATTACCAATAAAGTGATCATTCTAATCTGAGTTTATGAATATACTTGTTCAGTCATGCTCCTAACATGTGTGGAGTCACCACAGCTCTGCGTAGGGAACGTGGGAGACGGGAGGCACCCCTGGTGGGGAAGGACTGGGCCTGCCCATCAGCCGTGTGTATATCATGATGTGGGAGGTGGTTCTAAGAAAAGAAGTCTCCCAGGATAAGCTTCTGGCTCAGTACATCCCCATAATTATTTTAATTAGTTTTTGATTGACAGTTTGGCAGGAAGGGCATAGAGTGGGACAAAGATAAGTCAGACAGTCGTTCAGGGATTCTAAAAACTCATCTGCTTTTTACCGTTTTGAAAATCGGTTGGGATTGACGTGTATCTAGTGCATCTACGTGCTGTATCTCTGCCTGGCGATACCATCCATGCTACTAAATAATTCTACCATGAAACAGAAGAGACAAATAAGGGGAAAACCGTTACACATCACAAAGAGAATATTGTGGTGTCCCCAAACAGTGGTAACATGTCACTATTTTCATGTGCATGTGGGTCACGGGGACCTCAATTGCTCCCATGTTTTCATCTGTTGGTCTCAATATCATGTGCTGTAAACCATGGCTGGGTTGCTAAAGTGCCTGCAAATCCCTGTGTGAAAAAAGCTTGAGACGAAAGCTCAGCATACCATGTATTAACAAAAACAGAAAAGAAAAAAAAAGACATGTACTGATATGCCTATTTTTTTTTACTGGCACATTGTATTTTTGTGTCCACTTGTTTTTAGAAATATGTGAAGTGTCCATACACGTACCTATGTCCCTTTTGCATTTCTGTGTAATGGTTCTATTTGTTTATAACGTGCGGCGATATTTCAATGGCATTACCAATGTAAGCGTGGTGACCTTGAATGACAGTGGCTCTTTCTCACAGCCTTCCCTGAGCTGTGAGAAACAGCTTTTTCTGTACATATGAGACTTCTAATAAAAGGCATATTTCTTCCGGTTGTTTGTGGTATTTGTAGTATTCCTGTGGAAACTCTCCTAGCTGAGGTTTGGGTTTTTTTTTTTAAGTATATTAACAGATGTGGTTTTTTTCATATTTAGCAAAGTTGAAAGTTTCCTCATATCTGTTCTGTGTGCAGAAGCGGAAATGGGTGATTGATTGCTTATTTGAACACCTGAGGAGAGAGGGGACAGGAAAGAAAGAAGGACCTACTTAATGAGTCCACTGGAAAACCCATGCTGCCAAAAGAAGGGAACGGGGAATTCTGAATCGAAGAAGCCAATACACTAGAGCATACTGAATAGAGGAAAAATTAGAAAAGTACATAAATATTTTTATTATTGCCCTTTCACCCCTTTGGATCATTTCAGCAAGCCACATGTTTTTATTTGAGTCCTAGCCTTGTGTACAGTGAGCCCAGGGAAATGTCCAAATTCTGGTCCACTTCCAATACTAACCTGGTTCTGATTTCCCAGATTGTGACATAAGGCTTTGCTAATTCTTTCAGAGGGATGCTCATTAATATTTGTATGGTACTTTGATGGCATGAAGGGCAGTACATCGTAGGTATGTCTTGCACACAGGTATAGGTGTGGTCCCCATCCAAACGGCAAGATTTGCGAAGAAAATACCCTCCATGCTGAGTGCCTGGCATCCGTTGGTTGGTATAGCAGCCCTCATCCTGTCACTCAATCCAAATTCTATGACCTCAGGACTCCTAACGAGAGGTGTGGAGCAAGCCAAGGAAATAACACGTCTTTGGTTCTTAGATGAATGCAAGGTGTAGGAACGGAGAAAAAGAAGATGGACAGCTTTGTTAATTTTCTCACTGACCAGGAGGCCCATAGCAAATGCCAAAATTCAGAGGTTATTTATCTCAACTGACAGAAGTAGAGCAGGAGAGGTAATATTGAATATTGCGGGGACCCAAATCACAGAAGGATTTGTAGATTAAAACTGACAACCTGAGCTGCACTGAGAAGTAGGAACAGAGATGGGTCAGCATAAAAGTGAGAATAGGCTCCCCGAAGCAATCTTGTCAAAATGGACTGACCCCTGGCTCCAGCACACTTCACAAGAACTTGCACGGATCGTGGGAAGAGAGTGTTTACGGAAGACCCAGGCCACACATGGTCTGCCATCCACATGCTCTGCTCCAATCAGGGAGACATCCCAAGTCACTAAACAGGGGCAGGCAGCAACCCCAGAGGCCACACTCAGATGAGGATGGCAGTGGAGTAATTCAACTGTCCCTCAGCAAAGATGGTCCCCCTATTACATTATCACCACTCGTAGTCCATTAAGGCTATATATAGCCTTATAAAGGTTTCTGTGGAAATGTAAATTATAAAGATAATATTGTATGACATCTATATTATATGTAATGTAAGCACCACCGCCCACCCCCTCTCCCTGTGGGCAGTTAGACCACTGACCACTTAGAGGTCAAAGCACTGACAACTGCCCGGGCTGTCCCACAAACAGGAAGGAGTATGGGACCTGGGCTGCTCAGGTTTTCTGCCAAGGAAATCAAATCCATCACATCAGAGACAATAAACCACATGAATCTTCTGCTTCTGAGTGGGAGAAATTCGCTATATTGGAAACCCTTTATGTAAAGGGGCAGAAAATAGGCAAACAGAGCTGACCATGTGCTTGGTGATTGTCCGCCACCGTATGTCTGAAAATGAAGCCAAAGAAAGAGACCAGGGATCACTGAGAGTTCTCTGTCCATGTCATTGCTTGTGATTTACCCAGATACGATGGTCATCTTTGGGACTGCTGCCCTTCACTGTTTTTTTTTTTTTATTAGAGAGCACATTTGTATCTATCTATATAAAACAGGCATATGCAGCATATTTCTATAATTCTATAGAAATTATATTCCTCTGGCTTAATGTGTTCCTCATTTCATCCTATGCGTCCTTAAAACCCAGGTCTTGCCCCCAGTCAGCACTAACCTAAGATGAAGCAGATAGTATAATATATTGTTTCTGGCTTTGTTAGTCATGGAAGAGCAAGTCACAGGTTCAAATACCTCTAAGTATAGTCCATTATGGATGTCCTTCTTTGGCTAGCATAGACTCCCATCAATTTAAATGCCTTTTTAACAGTCAGTTCTTTTTTTTTTTTTTCCCCCACAAAGATTACTCTGATGATGACATGTCAGGTAGGGAGATAATCTTCTTTTCTTACTTCAGAGACAGGATATCTTAATAAGGCAGCTAATAAGAACATTCACAGGTCAGAAATGAGAGTGACTGAGATGCTTTAATGGAAAACCACCTTCAGCTCTGAGTAATGATCAGATCACAAGGCTGCTTGAATTAAATTGACTTTTTCTTTTTTTTTAAATTCATGGAAATTGAGGGTTGTAAATCTGAGCCTAAGCTTTTTTTTTTTTTTGAACAAGAAACTGATATTTTACACTTTAGATCTCCTGGGGAAAAACAGGAGGTTGTCAGTGCACTCCACATGGAAGGGGCTTATTTTCCATTACATGGGTGCTTCCTTCCAAAACTCATCATCTTCCTAGCCAGCATCATTTCCCCTTCTTCTCCGTTCCCCTCAGCTTTCAAATCCCGTGCAGTACAGTAAAAACCAGTGGGTGTTCTGTATAAATGTAGCTTCTTTCGGTTAAACCTTATAGTATAGAATTTGATTTTTAAAGCATTCCGCTGTGGGTCCTATTGCTCAAACAGTCTTTGCTAAGGAGGAACTCACCTTTCCTCCCAGATTTTTCTTTTTTTTCTGAGTTCAGATTTAAATGATCACTTTTTCCTCCTTACTAATTTTTTTAAAGCAAGTGATCTGCGCCTTAGCCTGTCCCTCATCAGATGGATCTATTCCATACCGGACACAGGAGAAACGTGCAAGAAGGAAGAAGAAGCCCTCCCACCATGAGGCTGAGCAGTTACTCCTCGTTCATCTTTAGCACTTATTTGTTCGCAGGATCAATTAAATGTGTGAAGAGCACACTTCTCTGAATTGCTCAACTAACTGCTGAGTCACCTCGCACTGTTGTTGGCTTACAAAAGCCATTTGGAGTTTGTTCCCAGACACTGAGGATGTTGCACGATGATCTGACTCTCCTGGGGTGTCACCAGCCTTGGAAGATCAACGGCTGGAAGGTGGTGCTGGTGGCAGGAGCCTTCTGTGTCTGCAGCAGGATTGCTGCTTCACTGGGAGGCTCCTCCTGAAACTGAAGTTTGGCTTCCATGAGAGGTTTTATGATGCAAATATTTTAAGTACAACTTTGAAGATTTTGCCATTAAAAACAGTCTCACATGGCTCAGGGCCCAGCAGACTGCAAACTACAAGGGGGAAGAGTGCCATATATTGCTGGCAAGTGACAGAAAGGAAAGCAACACAAATTTCTCAACCAGTCATGACCTTGGCTAATGATCTAGTTTCAGGGTGAGGTGAATATCTGACTTGCTTTTATTCAGCTCTAGTTGTCAGCAGCAACATACTTATCACAGTTGTTTATGTTGGGATGAAATGGGTAAAAGTATCAGCCTTTCAAGCCAGAGACCAGTCAGATTAGGGCTCGCCAATGAATGTGGGGTATTTTGGAATAATGCAAACCTTTGAACTTGTCTCATGAAGCCTCAAAGGGAATGTGCCCTGCACATGCCCTGACTTGGAACTCCATTTCCAAACTTTCCTTAACTTTATCTGTTTGGCTTGCCTCCCATCTGAGGCCGAGGACTCCTGCTCTGGTCCAAGTAACCAAAGCTTTTCCACAAAGCCTGCAATCAGTGTGCCCAAGCTGCCGCTGGCTGATTTATTCATAGCGCACTTTACAATTTGCACAGTGTTCTCATCATTTCGTTTTGAACCCCTAAACCCTGTGAAGTGAAGCAGGTTAGAGAAATGATAGTCCAATTTTACACGTAAGGAAACTCCCAGAGTTGGTGACTTGCCAGTTGATGAGCAGTCCCATCAGAATGGGAAACCCATTGTCCCGTGTGCCCCCCCACCTCTGTGGTGTGAAGATTCTATCAAAAGAAAAGTTTTTCTTTTATAACAATTTTAAATTTTTTACTTGATGGTAATTTATTGGTAATATATAATTTATAAACAGTTATGAAATTTGAAAAGCCTTGGAAAATAAATTTTATTAATCAGTACTATTTATATCCACTAGAATATGTATATATTACATATATATAATATACATTATATGATATAAATATAATGGTTTGTTCACACTTGAGGCCCAATGTGTTTTAAATTTAAAATGCCTGTTGAACAAGGCTTCCATGTGGATTTGCAGACCCACTGGGTCCCTTGTTGGTAACCAGTGTTACATGCTGTAGATCCTTCGCTTCATTATTTAAACCTGTCACACCAGAAGGCATTCATTTCTAAGCCACGTTTTCATGTTGAGAAAGAGTCATATGTGATTGAAGACAATGAAATTTTTTAAAATGTATAAAATAAGGATCCGGAACGTGAGGAAAGTAGGACACAGTAGACGCAGAGTGGCCACAACAAAAAGCCAGTCGTAGCAGTTGAGTTTCTGTAGCAGATGCAAAAGAGACCCTAAATGCTAATACAAAATAGAAAAGATCACTAGGAGATTGTGAAACAATAACAACTTGCATTAAATCATCAGCTGTTTTCAGCACAGATGGGGAAAACCTGTTATAAAATGTTGTAAGACATTTGCAGCGGGTTTCAAGCTGAACATGCATTAAAAACATTCTTAAGCTTTTCACATTGGGAATAAAAATGTAAATCATTTTTCGTGAGGATTTTTTTTTCTTTACCTATCATTTTTCTTTGTATTTATTTTATTTTTGGTAAGGAGACGACATAGTAATAGCCAAGGGGAAATGATCCATTTACAGAGTTGGATAGATAAAATTTATCTTCAAAGATGCAGAATATTAATTATACATAGAAAGAAACTTTTAGCTCTGAGACATTCTCAGTGAAACGCATGACTTATTTCACTCAAGATCCTAATCAAACACAGTAACAGTATCTCAA